AAATGAGTTCGATAGCAAAAAGCAAGATAACCAAAAGTTGACCGAAAAGTTTAATGTGGTGAATAAAGATTACCAAGATTTACAAACTGAATTTCAGAAAGAGAAAAATACTCGGCAAGAAGCAGAAAGTTCGGTTAATAAACTTGAAACTAAACTAACCCAAGTTAACAAGAAACTTAACAATTTGGCTAAAGATTATAATAAACTTAGTGCTAACAAAAGGAGTACGGATAAGAGATTTGAATCTGCAATTGTAAGATTAAAAACCGAAAGCAAAGATTATAAGAAGCAAAGAGATTTAAGACCAGATATTACTCTCACGGATTATCAGAAATTATTAAGTGATAAAGATAATGCTGAAAAAAACTTATTAAACGAGCGAAAAGAACACCAAAAAGTTAAAAACCAATTTCAGGCAGAGAAGAAAAATAGAGAGAGAATTGAAAAAACTAATCAACAGAATTACGATAAGTTAGTTTCTGAGCAGACGGAGCATCAAAAAACTAAAGACCGGTTAGAGAAAATTAACTTGGATTTCAATAAAGTTAATTCAAATTTAACTACTCTTCAAAATGATTATCAGCAAACTAGTGAAGAATTAATTAAGAGCAAAGAGTTAAATATTGAGTTAGAGAATAGTCGGCAGTCTTGGGAAACTAAGGCGAAAATGAAAGATGAACAACTCCAAGCGAAAAATGAAGATTACCGAAAAATTTATCAAGAATTTGAGCAGGAGAAATTTGACCATAAAAGAACTAGAACCGAATTGAAAAGTTTTCGAGACAACTTTCCTGAAATTCGAAATGATTTAATTGAAACTAAACAAAAATTAACTGAAAAAAACCAAGACCTTATTCAAACTCAAAAAAATTTAACTGCTCTTCAAATTACTCACCAAGAAACTAGCAATAAATTAGTTGAAATTCAAGGGAAGTTAGAAACTAGTCAAACTAGTTTAAATCGAGTTACTACTGAACTAACTAACTCCCAAAGCCAACTTAAAAAATTAACTCGGCAAAAGATTGATGTCGAAAAGAAAAATC